TTATTATCTCCTTTAGTCAAAAAACGAACATCACCTTTAGTATCTTTATGAATTTCTATTACTCTATGAATGATTGGAATTCCTTTAGATGGTAAATTATAAACAATAATATCACCTATTTGAATATTATCAACTCCACCTCTATTTGTTAAAAACATTAAATCACCTCGTTTAAATCCTGGTTCCATAGAACCACTTAATATAACAACAATTGGTGCTTCTGTAACAAATAAAACACAAAGTGTTTTCCACATTATTACAGCTGATGCAACAATTAATCCAAATTGAGCAATATTTTGAATAATTAATCTAGGGCTCATAGACCTAAGAGATTGAATAGGAGCAAACATTTTAATTAGGTACAACTGAATATTAAGTTTTATCTATGAATATATTAAAAAAAAAAAGAATTATAATTTCTTTTTATTATTCAAAATAAAATTTCTCTCTTTTATTATATTTTATTGATTTTTTATTAATTAATTAATTATCTTATTATATATTAAGAAAAGATAAAAAATATTCTTTTAAAGAATTAAAAAAGAAATAAAATCAAAATTACCAACTTAAACTTTCATTTATTCAGCTTTTTTCATTTCTGGTTTCTTTCCTGCATTGAAATCCCTCTTAAGCTTTCTTTCTCCTTGGATTTGTTTAGCTTCTTCACGAACAGCTGTGTGAACAGTTTGTTTAAGAGTTGATGGAACAGCATCTTCTGGAAGAGCAAGTTTTTGTCTAAGATAAGCAATTCCTTCATCATTAAGTGTCCAATAAAGACATCTCCAGTTGCAAGTTTCTTTAACACACTTTTTAGTGGCAAGACCTTTCATTAACATAAAGACTTGAAGGTTTGGAATACCAAATACTGGATGGAGACAAACAAAATCTTTATGGCAAACAATACATCCATCGTTGAAAAGTTGTTTATAAATGGCGATGATATCCTTGGTAGCAATTCTCATCTTAACTGACTCTTCCCAACAGTTCTTTTTTTCAGTTTTCTTTTTTAATTCCTAGGGTTCTTTACTATTTTTTATTT